GTGTCTCCGCCCTTCCCAGAGCTGCTGGGAATTGCTCGTTCAAAGGGAGATCAGACCATTGTTGTAGTCTGGTGGGCTCGGTAATGAAGTGAAATTACCTGCATGATCAGACTAGCCAAAAGTAGGAGATAAAGGTTGCGTTGCAGGGTATGTTTGGTCATTTGTTTAGCTTTCTTTCCCAGCCCTTTCTGCTTCACAATAAACTTGGCCATATGGTCACGCTCGCCGAGTATCTGACAGGAATCTCTGATTGCATCCCACTAACAAAATGAAATGTGCTTTTTACTGCTCAGTGTGAATAGCAAGCAAACTATGAAAAATGGGCCACTTGACAGATGCAGCACTGTCTTGGGAGCTGGTGGCCAGTAAGAAATATCGAGGTGGGGGGAGCCATGACAGGCAGCAGGTTCAGTGCTGGGGGGAGTGCTGACCTGACCTGATTGTGTCCAGCAGTGAGAGCAGTTCTGCTTCAGTGCAAAGCCATTCAGAAGGAAGCTGCTTAGGCAACAACAGATGGTACAGCAAGCAGCTGGTAGGGAATACTTGAAAGAAACTGTACCCTGTTTCATAACGTGTTCGTGCCTTTCATTTTTCTGTTAGTTAGTTTTGCTGTCTTCTGAAAGCACTATGTAGGAAATGGTATCCCCTAAAAGGCTCTGGATGAGGAGTTTTTTCATTGTTGTTTGCTGCTCCTTTAAAAAAATTGCATTCAAATTTTGTGCTACTCTGTGTAAAGATGAAATTTGTGCTATCCCAGGAGTACAGATGAAAAGACTTAAAAATGCTGCTTTTAACCACACAGGAAAACAATTACATATTTGAGGAAAGGGCACTGAGAGGTTAAACAAAAAGTTGGGCATAGAGGAAAGCTGATGGCTATGGAACAACACAGCAAATTGTTTTTAACATGTTACCCAGCAGAAGCTCTTATTCAAGTTAAAGTAACTTTAAACAATTATATTCCCCTGTTTTGAAATCCTTAGGTTTAGACCTTGAAACCCCTTACATACCCTTCTCAGCAGAACTCCTCGAAGCTTAGTCACTTTCCCGTACAATTGAGGATTTTGTGCTCAAATGTTTTGTTCAGTTACTGAAAAATGAAAATTCAACTCTACTCCTCAGCAGGTGTAAACTGTTACATGGCCATAAACTGTTGGAGAGTTGCAATAGTCTGTATCAGCTGCCTATCCTCACCGTAGGCCATCTCCCTGACCTCTAGGAAAAAGCAGAGTCTGGAGCCCTTTATTCCTTTGCTCCTTCGGCCAGAAAATTCAACAGTTGGGCTTCTCCACAAAAAGCTGTGCGTTAGCTCTGACCTGAAGGGACCATGTCTTCAGAAGAAAGGATAGTTTGCTCCCTGTGCCCATTCATTCCTCAAACTCTTTGTTGGGATGGTCAGCAAAGATGCCACTTGTGACAGTGGTTTTCTATAATATGGACACCTGCCCACTAGGAAACAGACTGAGACCACCAACTCACTTCATATAAACTAGCAAACAGCTGTCAGATGGTAAACAATTTGTGGTCACTATTGTTCCTGGCTGGATTAGATCCAGTGACCCAGAGGTGAACAGCTCATATCCTGTTACCAAGGTCTTGTGTGGCAGCTCGGTAAGCAGCTACTGCATTTTATGTTTAATTGGAAAGTTTAAATTGCAGGTACCAGTTTTATATATTATTGTGCATTTCAAAGTTGCTTGCATGTTTGGCTTTTTTCAGTTTGTACTGTTCAATTTGTTTGTTTTGGTTTGTTGGTTTTGTTTGTTTGTTTTTTTCTGATCTTTTCCAGTTTCTCAACCCAGAAGGGCACCAAGCAAGAAATGCATCAAAAAATGTCTAATTTTTTTAGCTATCTATTTTAACCTGATCAGAAGTAATGTTTCTTTGCTTATGGGCAATACAGATACATACATATAAAATCAGCTTTTATTAGATTTTTAGAAAGAAAAGGTTTTAGCTCCTTGATTTTCAGGGAAGGTTTCCCACTACGAGCAGAGGCAGCTGTTGTCGGGCTGTCTTCCTGAGCATGCAGACAGCTTTGTGTCCTTGTCACAGCTCTAAACTTTGTCAAACTGTGACAGAATGAAAAGCCGTCTTTGATGTGTGTTTTTATTTTTGCTATCCATAATCATGTCAGCATTAATGAAATTTGTAACAGCAACACTGGAGTCGTCCCCAGCATGTGTGAGAGGTAACTTAACTCATATCATATGATGGCTTGGGAGATAAAAAGCAGGCTTTTGAAGTGCTTTGTTGTTTTTATTTTTTGTAACTTTTTTGCATTTGTAGACCACAGTCTTTTATCTTTGATTTTTTTTTTCTTTTTCTTTTTTAAGCAAAACTGAAGAACTTAGTGCTATCTAATTCTCATTGTGACAGAAATGGCTGAGATTGTCACATTGCTTTTGGATTTTCCTAGAATGTAGTACTGCTAAAGAGAGATTGAAGTTGGTTAAATCTTCACATTGGGATGGGATGATATTATATCCAGACGGTGTCCTTTTCTTGAACATTATAGTGGAGGAGAAGAAGTATAGAGTGTCCACCTGGACACTGGGAGAAGGGAGATGGTAGGGGGAAGGGAGATAGTAGGGCGCAGGCTGTCTTAACCTGGGCGGACACAACCGTCACTCTTCCATATTCAGCAGAGTAAATGCTGTGTGACCTAGACGCAGCATGGAATTTTTGGTGGCGTGTAGTCCAGTGCTGGCATAGATCATGTCTGATTACATGATAAAGATGATAATTTTTCATTGAGCTGTTCCACAGTCCATTGAACAACCATGCAATCTCTTTAAGACGCTGATTGCTTACCACTGTGTTCTAGCTCTTGTAAGCTTATCATTTCTCAACAGATTTTTTTTTTGGTAGCTCCATTTCAGTCACTCCCTATGAAGTCTTTATTTTGCATAGTTACATAAGTGATCAGACGAAAATTATTGCAGGTAGCTAAAGCTTTTTTGTAATGTAATCCTTACGGATTTCTGAGAGTTTATTCTTAGCTTCATTAGAATATCGGATATATCAAATATATAATAATGTCTTACAGTCAGTAGTTAATAAATTCAGAGATCAACCATGTAAACCAATAGCAGTTCTGACTCTACAAGTGGACAGCATTTTAAAAGTTTAAAGAAGTGCACATGCCAAGGAGTCCCGTTTCTTGTACTGACTAAACATAAACTTCAAGGACAGTGTTTTGCACTTCCTCCCAGCAAACTCTGACAGTCAGGCCTAGAGAATGGCAATTCTGAGGAAGGTGCTGTCTTCCTTGCTCTTCTGTCGGGACGCTAACTAATGCTGTCTGTGTGCAGGAAGACTATATTCTGTTACTGACAAAGAGCAGCACAGACAAGCTCAAACATCTGAGAGAACGTGAAGTCAGAACTCCCTAGAGAGGAACAGGAAGCTTTAAATCAAAAGGCCATTATTTTTCTGTGCCCAAGAAGAGGCAGGGTAATCTTCATATTTGCCAGAGAACTTCAGCAATTTATCTCAGTTTCTTTAGAGGAGGTTTCGATTCTGTGTGAGTGGTACTTGGCTGCTATGTTTTGTTGTCACGAGGTCTATGCTCCTTTGTCAATGAAAGTGGAAACTGTCATGGGTTTCATGAGGTACTACCTTCTGCTACATGGTAGGTGTGAACACTTCTAATCCTGGTACACAGTTACAACAGGGAGCCAAAGCTCTGGCTGGCTGGCATATCTACATGCTATTGTGATGATCTGAAAGTAGTTTATTTTGTAGTTTTTGAGTAACACTCGTATACATGTGTAATAGAGATGCACAGGGGAACAGCACAAGGAGAGACTACGTGAGGAGGTGGAGTAGAAGGAAGCCCTTAACAGCAGTCAGAGTTGAGGGAGGTAGGCTATGTGGGATGACAAGGAGAAAGGTATGAGGACAAAGACCCCTCCTGGTTCCCATCCCGGCACGGAGAGGGTGCTAAAGGAAGGTAAGGCAAGGTGCCTGCAGCTCTCCCCAGCACTTGCCCAGGGTGGAGCACATCCTGTAGCGGGGGGCCTGTCTGGCTTCCTTGCAAGTATGGGCTGTTCCTGGCTTTCTCTGCAAACTGCTGCTTTTGGGTTGATTGATAAAGGCTGAGATTTAGGTGAACACACTGGGATACTAATCTCAGTCTTTGGTTTTGCATGGTTGCTGAGCCATGAAGTGTTTTATTTCCTATTTTGCTTTGGTTCCTGTTGTGGTGTTAACAGGTATTGCAAATTGCAGCTGTTGCCTGCATTGGCTGTTGCTCAGGCCATAATGTAAGCGTTGTAAGGGGTCCTGATCTACACATCTGATTTATCAAAAAGGGTCAACATCTTTTGGAGGGATGAAATGAAAACATTGTTTGTGTGAGGTGACCATGACTATTAGAGGTAGAATTTTGTTGCTTTGAGTTGTCACTGTGGAAAGATTGGGCTGGATTGCTCTAATGCTACACATTTATATGGAAAAATGAAAAAGATGCTGTTGCTTTTTTCAAAACAGAAGTTTGAAAAAACAAACAAAAAAGCACTTAAAAACAAAGCAGAAGTGTGTGCTCCGCCTGGCAAGTGCTCAAGTGGCAACACTTTAAGGCCCATAGTCTTCAGAAGGGAGGTTCTCTATAAAATTTTGCTCCATTCATGCACCTCAGGATTCTCACAGTGGAACTTAGGCTCCAAAACCAGTAGGTATTTCTGGAAATCTGGGCTTTGGTTTCTCAAAATCTGTCCTCCCCATCGGTATGCAAGCATTTTTATCCCAAGGGTTTGGCTCTCATAAATGTTCTTCAGAGAGAGCTCCCTCTCTACTTAGGTACTTGTTACACAGTTGCACACAAAGTAACTATTGAGTGGTCAATAGAGGTAGTGTTCATGTCTGAGAAAAATAACAAAACCTCAGGCTAGATGATACAATTCCAGTAACCTGAAATGAAACATTTTAAGATTTTCTGAAAAAGAAATATTTCATGCCTTTTGAGCAACCAGACGGTAAATTAACAAGCACTGATTTTTGACTGTCACTCATGGCTTCATTTAGGATTGATCTCTTAGTGTAGCAGAGGACAGACTTACTCCTGAGACTGCTCCTTGTGGAAGGGACTGTAGTTCCTGGTGGTGCATTCCGGAGTTCTTTATAAGCATGTTGATGTAATGTGATGTAAATTTTGAATGCTAATTGTGAGAAGGGTGTAGGTAAGACAGTGACATTCACAGTAGAAATAAGTATGAGAGCTGAATGACCCAGTAGCTTTGAAATTGTTAGTAAGTCAGTGGAAGGAAATCTGTCAGAAATTGTTCCAGTGAAAACAAATACGGCTTCACTCTTATGTCACTGGAGGGTGCATCAGTGTTGTGCAAATGTACACTAGAAACAAGCAGTTCTGTTCTTCTGGGTGCTTCTCTCTTAAGTTGCACCAAAGCATTTTAATGTGTGATGATTGAAACACTGGGGACTCTGACCCCAGTGCTTGGTAATGGGAGCTAGAGCCTTTCACCTCAAGGTCATGAGTTCAGGTCTGCCTCAAGTTGAGGATGACTAAAACTAGTTGCCATCTGACAGCTGTTCATTGCTCTTGGGGTAGGGAAACATGGTGGTCCTTACATAGTTCTTAGCAACCCAGTGTCCATATTGACAATACTGCTCTCTTCAGGCCCTTCAGAAGAGCAAAGAATTTAGTACCTTGACCAGCTTTCATTCACATCAGTGGGGAATTTCAGGTGGAGCAGCAGCAAGTTTAACAGTACATGATGCTGACTTGCTCAAGCCAGATCTCACATGTTCTGGCAAAGAGTAAAGAGGGAAGCCTGTGGATATTGGGGGGGGGGGAAGACATTTTCCTCTTTTCTGAAAAAAAAACCAGGTATTTAACAAGATGTTAGTGTTGCGCAGCAACAAAGGTGTTGTCAGTAAAACTGTCTCATCTTGAACACTGGCCTCCAAACATATTCTTGAGAATTAGAAACTGATACATTAAGCAAGAAATGGTGCCAGGACACTGGTGTTATAACTTTGTTGTGATTTTCTTTTTCCTTTATTTTTAATTTGTTAGCTAAATTGTACAGATGGCTTACTATCTCTTTTCTAGTAGGCAGACACCCAGAATCTGATGACTACTGGAAGGATAGTGTACAAATGGCTGCAGTGTGTAACCACTGACCATGAGACAATATACTAATCTGTTATTTGTATCAGCATTTTGGCTTGTAGGAATTTGTGTACACCAACTCAGCTGTCTAGGCACTAAATCATAAGGAATCATGTAATAAAGGATTGAATGCCATCAAGTGGCATTGATATATTGAAAAAGGAGAGTGATGTGTGGATTTTGTCACCAGAATATTGAAGTGAAATAGTTCTGTCTTTGATATGGAATAAAATGGGAAGCATCAGTAGTGTATGCCATACATACAATTTAAGTCAGTAGTATTTTGACTGTAAAATGTTATTGTCACCAAATATAAGGAAACAAAGTCTATAAAGGAAGACCACAAAACTCCAGCATTTTGTTAATGGGTTGTATTTTCCATTACATCGTTTGTTCTATAGTGTGGAAATCCTATGATGACTATAATGAGTGATTTTTTTTTTTTTTTTCTTACAAGTGTAAGGAATGACTTTGTGCAGAGTGTGCAAGTGTTGAGCATAGTATTGCATATCTTCAGCACAATGAGGCCAGAGGCTTCAGGTACATTTCAGCAACATTTTTAGTGGTTTCCCCACCAGCTGTGGATAGTCTGGGGGGAAAAAAAAGGCAACAAGAGCGCTTGATTTTTAAAAAGTGCATATTCAGCTGATTCTGCTGATTGTGGAGGCTTAAGATCTCTGGTTATGGCAGCCTTCAGTAATCTTTGCAAACTTTCAGTTAGTATAGATGAAAACTTAACTGGTGGAAATGGTTAAATTTTTTTTTTTTTCTTTGCCTTTTGTTCTGTATTACTTCTGATGTGTTGAAAGGCCATGGATGTATGCACTTGCTTCTGATTTATCTGTATGTTTTCACATAATCTGACTTTGGCAGTCAATTTTCCTTTGCAATCTGCATTTATAATTTCTTTGTACCTGAGTGTTACATTGTATAAAGTATCTACATTTCCCTGTGGAATTATCTTTACCCTATTCTGCTGAAGAAATGTACATAATGGACCCATCAAAGAAATAATTAAATGATGTAATGCCTTAAGAAGAATGCAGAGCAGATCTGCTGCTGGGTCCTAGAATGTGCACCCACCTTCTGTGATGGTTTTGCTATTCCTGTTTTGAATGTTAAAAGGGGAAAAAAACCAGCTTCTGTTCTGTTCTGACTGACTTGTGTGATGCAGTTTTGATTAGCTAAATCTGCCTGGTTCAGTGAAGTTAATGTGGTTTGACAAGACCTTGATTAGGAAACAATCATTTCTGTTGATAGTAAACAGTTGGTCACTTTCAGGAGAGATAGGAATGTTCCCCTTTGTCTTGCATGAAGTATGATTTGTTGCTTCAAGTCCTGGTTAAATTCAAAAGGAAAGTGTGGGTGGAATGGGAGGGAATATAGTACCAGGAGTAAAAGTTTGTGGTAGACTCCACAATACTCATAAAATTGGGGCTTTATTGTCTTGGCTGGCATTGAGAGACAAAAGAAGGAGAGAGACATTTTGTCTTTGGAATTACTTACAGTGTAAAGGACTGCAAAAGAAAGCTCTGGTTCCAAGACATACACATTAGGATAACTCTGCTCCCTACCTGCACCCCATATTTCTGTAAGATGAAGCAAAATTTATTAGCGTACCTTAGACTACTGCTTGCTGAACAAAGAAGGCAGTGAGCCATGAATGTGAGCCTGATAATTGAAAGTATTTTTAGGGTTTAATTCTTGATAAAAATTAACAGCGGCTTTTTGCTACCATGCATATGCAGGCTCAGTGATTGTATCTTCTCTCACTGTAGTAAGAGGGATGCTAAGAAGGTATAAAGGGACTCAAGGTGAGGAAGTTGTACTTTGATTTTTATGTTTTTCTTACTGTGAGCTAGTCACTGTTACTTGGTGTGAAGGAGGTAATGCCACATGTGATAGGCTGAAAAAATGGAGTGTGTTGTGGAAACACTTATTTCTTTAAAGAATTTTTGAACTAGAAATTATGCAATGCTTCATGCCAGAATGACTGTATGGTTTAATTGTTGAGGGTCTCATACTGACAGCCTTTACCATGTAGGGGCCTAGCTTCTTGCCTGGTGGTCCTTTTAGCCCCAGAGGGGTTATGGGTGGATCGAGGGCCCAAGTTATTGAAAAAGTGAATGTCATCTCCCACACTGCCGACTGGCTACAGATTGGTCTTCTGTTATATGACCTGGGAAGAGATAGATGTACATGCCTAATTTCTGCTCACACTGTTGCAGAACTAAACTTTGGCAACAATTCAGATCACCAGTGCCAAGCTGACTGGGACTGAAAAAAATTTAACAAATTAGACCAGGTCTATAGGTTGGATTTAGCAGAGCAATAAAGGTAATAAATTGTAAGGGATGGAAACAACATGTTGGTGGTATTCTTGTCCTCCTCCTCTGGATGTGGTCTTGATTCAGCTAGTGGGCTGAATTAATTGACCCCGCCTCCCACATGTATTTTCTAGAGAGTCTACAGGGGAGGTTATATAAAGTATATGAACTCTAACTAAATGCGTTTTTGTAAGAGGGAAGATAATTTTCCATTCTCATGTAATATTTTCTGGCAAGGCAAATTAAATATGTCTTCCTCTAGAGCCTGTCCACTTTGCAGTCTCCCTCTGCCTTTTTGTTTTTTTCTTGGTGTGTGTTTTTTTTTTTTTCCCCCACAGTCTTTTAATATGGAGCATGCTTGTCAGCTCACATGGGTCTGAAAACAGATATTGCGCATGAATGATCTGCATCACAGCATGTTATGCAGGTACTGGACCACTGGGGTAAATTAGCTGTGGACAGTCCTTTCTGCTACACTCAAAACTACATCTTTTTATGTGAACATGGTATTTTTTCTTTTTTATTTAAGGCTGAAAGAAGTACTCACGCTCACTCTTTTCCTTCTCTCTTTTTGTAACTGAAGAGAAACATTCTCCTTCTGCCTTTGCCAGATTATTTAGGAGAAGAGTGTAAATTAAATCCATTTATCTTGAAATGTGCTATTGGAGCAGACTGTTTATACAAATGTAAGAAATTGTAACATAGTATTTGGTCTGGTCTGGGAGGAAAAGGTTTTTCTTTTTTCTTTATTTTTTTTTAATTTTTACATATGGGATATTGGTTATAATGTAGAAGAAACTGTTTGAGGCCCCAGTTTGCGCATCAAGGTTTTAGTGCAGTAGAGGTAATGGTATTTTAATAAGGAATATGATTTTTGTTGCAATGTTACTAAAATAAGGTTGTTATTAGTTGTAGAGTTACACTGTGATCAGTTTGAGACAGAATACTCCATGCACATGGTCAAATTTTTTCTGACTGGAGTGTACTCATCGAGTGAATACAGAATAAACAGTTACTGGCTAATATAAAGCTGTTGATATTTATCCATCAGTTGGTGGACGAGTGAGTCGGGAGTTAAATTACACACGGCAGAAGATTGGAGAAGAGGCCATGTTTAACCCCCAGCTCATGATCCAGACTCCACAGGAAGATGGTGCTAATGTACTAACAACAGAAGCACTCCGACAGCACCTTGACTCTGCGCTTCAAGCCAGCAGAGTACATGTCTACATGTATAACAGGTAAGGGGAAAGGCAAAACTTTTCTTGATCATCTGTAACATCTAAAAAGTGGGCATATTCTTCCCTCCATGTATTTTTAAATGGTTAGCACTTCAGAGCCTGTCCCTTAGGGCTGTGTTTTGATTTGAATGTCACTGGTTTTTGATACTTGACGTTGTGGCATGACAGCAGTAACAAGTTGGCTTTTAACAAATAAAATGGGGTAAGTGGTGCTGGAAGAGATTGAGAATGTACCCCTATGAGCAGTGCTACAGTATCGAGTATTTGTCTTGAGAAAGGAGTGATTGATGTCTGTGCTCTTAAGCATAGGACCTTATGGATGCAATTCCTTACATTGAAAATCCATCCATATTAGGGTTGAATTCACTCACTGACACCATCACGAGGTACATAGTAACTATGAACAGTGACACGTGTTACTATCTTTCCACTAGTTTGGATATAAAGGGAAATGCAGGCATGTGGGAAACGGCAGTGGGTGGAATAATAGCTGTTTAATAACATAGACACAATAGAGTTGGCCTTCAGAGTGTCTGTGTGCATGTACTGAAGGGTGGGAGTTGTGTTGTCCAACAAAATAATAAAGGTGCACCTTTCTAAGGTACCAGCTTTGGGCTAGTGAGATGTCTCCCTGAAAAGTGGTTTCTCCAGGGTTACTGCTTACATGATGATGTGTCTAGGGGTGCTGCCTGTGAGGCATGAAGCCCTCCGTCTTTCAACACATCTTTTCAGCACATCCATCTGATGCTTCAGTGAACTAATGGCGAGGATCCAATTATCTTTGCCCAGCTCCTGCCTTGTCTAAGGTGTTAGAAGTCATGGCAGTGGGAGTTGTAACACAGGTGAAAAAGGAAGGCAGAAGTCCTAATGGTTTCTTTGCTCCTGCATGTGTGGGTCAGCTGGGAATATTCTAGTCCTCTGAGCTGGAGTGGGCTTCTCTCTCACTTGTGTCACTGAGCGATATCTTAAGTCACAAGTGATCACATTTATACAAAGACATATTTCTGTCCCTTTAACATGTGTTGACTAGCCTGTTCATCCAAAAGCAGCTCCATAATTTTTAAAGAGTTTTATAGAGGATGTGAGAATAACTGAACAAGCATCTAGTCTGTAACTAGAAAAATAAAGGCTTTTGCTTTTTTTGTGAGGTGTAGTATATCTCTGCTAAACAGTACTTGCTTTTTTCAGTGATTTGCTGCTTGAGGATGATATGTGTGTATGAGTTGCAATTTTAAACATCTGTTACATTTTTAGAATAACTTTTCAGTAATGGTGGAAGAAAAAAAATATTTGTTCTTTATTTTTCTTACAGACGGTGGAAATTGGAACATTTGTGTTACAAATCAGGAGAACTCATCACAGAAGCAGGTTACATGGACCAGGTATGTGTAGCAGGCATTTAGTTATAAGATTTGTGTATTCTCATGATTCAGCTTGTGCTGCTTTGAATATATTCTAGTATAACTGTGTTTTTCCCCTTTCTGATTTTGACAGATCATAGAATATCTTTATCCTTGCTTAATTATTACTCCTTTGGACTGCTTCTGGGAGGGAGCAAAGCTACAGTCAGGAACAGCCTATCTATTGTAAGCATGTTTTTTTATAACTTCATGGTCTGACTGATTTTAATTGTATAACTGTGTGTGATTTTTCAGTTGCATTCCCATTGTTTATTCAGATTCTGTTTAACAGAAAAATAAAAGATAAAGTGGAGTGTCTCTACAGAAAATATGCATGGATTTTTTTAATTGAATAAAGATTTTCCTGTTTCTAAAAGATGGTTTGTATGCATTGATTTAAATCCTATGCTATTTTTCCCGTTCTGCTAGCATGCAAAATAAAATGTAAGTTCTGAATTCAAGCTTTAAGAATTTTATGGCTTTTTTTGGGGGGGGAGGGGGATGAAAGAAACTTGTTTCTGATGGGGTTTTTGTTTGTTTGTTTTTTCCCATAAAATATAAAAACACTGATTGTCTGTGAATTTTATTCCTAAGAAAACATCTTGGGTTAAATCTCAGGTCTTCCTGAGGAATAAAGAAAAAATCCTTTGCTTATGAGATCATTAAAGAAACCATATAGTATCTTTTATGGGTGGTTTCTCACAGTTTACAAGTGTGATATTATATGCCCTGAATCCTTTAAAAAGTTAATTGTTAAGCTGTGCAGGCATTTTCTGTTAATTATGCAAGAGTTAGCATTTGAGTTATTGTTTCTGTCCTGGTTTGCATGTCTCTGTAAAAGCAATTTGCAATTGCCATCTCCTAACCGTTAGTGTACAGTTTTAGATGGGGAAATAAGGGGGTTTGTGTTTTCTGGTTGGGAGATTCGGAATAATGACTTAAGCCTGGTTAAGCAGATACAGTGTGGCTTGAACCACAGAATAAGGCAGCCAAATGCCTTTCTAGTCTGTCAACATCACAAATTCAGAAGTGGGGGGTGGGAGAAGTGACAGTGATAGTGGTGACAGCCATGGTAGCAGGAAAGCTTGATGGTTGATATTCAAGCTGCCAGGGCATTTGAAGGAGCGCAGAATTGTTATAGATAAACAAAGATCAGCTATATTGATTGATTACATTTGCAAGATGATTATTAGACTAGCAAGAAGTAATCTGATACTATGAGAAAGGCTTTCTTTTCTCAGCCTCCTCTCTTCTTTCCCTCTCCCCTTCCCCCCCTAGTTCTTTGAAGCAGCAGTTGACTGCTTTTTTGTTGTTTAGGTGCTTGGTGATTTGTTTTGCTTTCCTTCTAAATTGAAGTATTTTTAGCATATGACTATTCTGTTTTGTTCTTACAATAACTTTGTAAGAAATTAGTATTTTTGTTAAAATTACAACTGGGCTGCAAGAGAAAGTCATAAACAAATATAATTAAAACATGCCTTACATTTTATGAAACAACCTTACCAGAAAAGGTGTTAACTTGTAACAGAAAATAACTCAATTATTTATGCAAATACTGTTTTTTAAAGTATGTTTGTTTCAGTCCTTCTTTTGTCTTTTTGTGTATGTGTCATTTGCTTCTGGTTTGTCTTGCAGAGGGAAGCCTCCTTTGCAGTGGATCAACTTTGACCCCTTAGAATTCTTGGAAGAGTTAAAGAAAATAAACTACCAAGTGGAGAGCTGGGAAGAAATGCTGAATAAAGCAGAGGTTGGTCATGGTTATATGGATCGACCCTGCCTGAATCCTGCTGATCCCGATTGCCCAATCACAGCTCCCAATAAAAATTCCACCAAAGTAAGTTTGGTTGTCCTTGTGCATATCTTTTCAAGGGAGGCCAGGCCAGGGGTGGAGTGGGGAGGTCAGAGGGAAAAAGGTGCCATTGTCTTCCAAGCAATATGTAGCTCGTTGTCTTGAGTGCTGTCATTTTTCTGTTCCTGTTATATGCTGATAGCCCACAGTCACGAACTTTCCCTCATTCTGTGATGCAATGCTTAATCCGGTGTATTTAGAGTGAGAAGACAGTTGTCAGCTACTGGTTGGTTGTGGCGATATCTTGATGTGGCATTTCAGCAAACCTGATGCCTCAGACAGACATAGTAACAGCTGGAGTACGGCTGCTGCTATACACTCACACAACACAGCAAAGCCTTCCTTCAAGTAGCGCCAGTTTTGTTGATTTTTATGAAGAATTTGAAGTCACGGGCCCCAATTTTACGTATCCCTTTATCAATCACATCAGGCTTTGGAGGAATTGCTGTCTGGGCAACAGGTATCCTTCTGATTTGTTCAACTTGATTTGCTGAATACATTTCTCTTTGTAGACTTCCCGGATCACCTTTAATATCTGTTATTCTAGTACACTGGGTGTTAAATAGAGGTATGAGTTTGTCTGAAGTTATGAAACTGATCAATTGCTTCCTTACAACTTTTTCTAGCCTCTTGATGTAGCCCTTGTTTTGAGTGGTGGATGCTATGGACTGTCAAGAAAATACATGCATTGGCAGGAGGAATTGATTATAGGTGGTACAGTCAAGAACGGTTCTGGTAAACTTGTCAGGTAAACAAATGTTTAAAGAAAATTTCAAAGCTTTTCTTTGTTAGAGTTTGGGGCACAGGGGAGGATCATGCAAAATATACTACTCTTCATGCGTATTATGAACCCCAGTTTAGGATGACAAGCCTCAAGAGAAGAGAATTTAAAAGAGTGATGAGACAGTTGTTTAAATTTAAGGAGGTGTCTGTGCTTCCTGCTTCTAACATCAGAATGTTAGTGTACGTTGCTCAGAAAGAAAGCTTTTTCCTGGTAACTTTGTTGTTTAGAGTGTACGTATAAAGCATTAAACAGGGTTTAATGCACTGAACACCTTTGATCATGTTTGAAATATGATCAAACGAAAAAGGGAAAAAAATAATTTATATAGTGTGCTCATTCATTTGACATCTCAGAATTCCAAAATCGCCACAGAACTTTTTGTTCAGGATCAATACAGAGAAAAGTCTATTTTTATGTCCCTACATCTTGAATACAGTTTTGAGTGATAAACCCCTTTTTCTCAGACTTCTTGAAGTCATGGAACACTGGACTTCAGTGGGGAAAAAACCTGTGAAATAGAATTGTTCTGAAAAATGTAGGCCATACCAAACTAAATGAAGCATAATTGTTACATATTTAAGACAGAGAGCTTTTACTAGAACTTTTAATATGAATTTTGACCCTTTTTATATTCACTCTAAACATTGATAATTCTTCCAACAAGTAGCCAAAGAATATATTTTTAGTGAAAAATAAAATAATTCTTTAAGGTTCTAAAATTGTTGGATACAGTTGCATGCTGCGGAAATTCAGGATAGATAGTTACTGCCATTGTGTACTCCTCACAGCTTGTCAGGCATCACGAGTTTAATCTGGCATTTCTCTCCAAGGGATGACAAGACCAGGGTCTTCAAATGACAAATTGCCAGTGGCATTTAAAAGATCTCGTAGAAATAACTGTTCCTGTGGCATCCTCTCAGTAATCTATCTATCAATCATGATCTTTATAACTGATTTGTGGGGTTACATTCTCTGCTCTTGAAACTGATCCTATTGAAAATAATGGCAAAACTCTCATTAACTTCAGTGAAACCAGATTCAGCCTGAGTCATGCATAGACCGATATACCTGCACCAGATACACAGCAGAATAATTACACTCTGATCAATTTTAGTACAAAGAAATGCCCTATAAAATCAAGAGCCCCATTAGGGTCTTTCTTGGGACTTGATGCCATGAAAATAACTTCCTGAAAATGCTAATTTTATGTCTCGTCGTCCTCTCCTTTGTCTCCATGTCACAGTGCCCAGGCTTTGCAAACCATGTTTCAGTTAATGACTCCTAAGCAAATGTATGAGCACTTCAAGGGTTATGAATATGTTTCACATATCAACTGGAATGAGGACAAGGCAGCAGCCATTCTGGAAGCCTGGCAGAGGATGTATGTTGAGGTAAAACTGAAAATAACCCAGATATCATAGTATAAAGCCCTGCTAAGATCCACTGGCTTCTGTCACAGCTTTTTGCAGTATTTATTCAAGGAGGAAGATGCTTAAACCAGAACTGAGTCACTGCCTCCCAATTTTTAAGCTGATTTTTTTCCTCATTTAAGAAGCTGCTTGGTTATTCACATATCAGAATCAATTAAGGTTCTGGTCTTTGCTAGCTGACATTTTTGCTTTGCTGAGACTGAGAAGTAACCAAAGAACTAGCTGGAATTTAAAAGCTTTTGGTTGGCATGGTTATTCTAAAGGTGTCTGGAAAACATTAGCCACCCATGGGTTGCTTTCCCAGTAGCAGCCCGGGTGGGGGGGCTATGGGACAGTGCCTGGCCTCTGTGTCCCAAGCTCTGACCTCTGCTTCGCTGCTTCTGACCTCTGTGAATGGCCAGTCAGGGAGAAAGAGAAGCACCCTGAAGCGATGGCTGGCCTTGGGTTGAAAGCAAAACTTGTACTGCAGCAAATCCATGGCAGAGTTATGGGAAGAAGCCTCAAGTGAAATGTTTGGAATAGGCTGGGAATGCAGTAGCCATTCCTGAAGGATGCAAATTATTGTCTGATAATCAGTAGCTTGCAAGAAATAAATACCAAACACATTTGTGTATCATCAGCATAATCTGTGTAGAGTGGGAGCTTTTGCAGGAATGTTAAGGCAAAAGTAGTTGATTTCAGATGTGTGCTGTAGAAGACGGTAATTTAATTTTTTCTTCAGTCACACCAAGTTTTATTTTTCTTTGCATAGGTTGTTCATCAAAGTGTTGCACAAAACTCTACTCAGAAGGTGCTTTCCTTTACTACGACCACCCTGGATGACATCCTAAAGTCATTTTCTGATGTCAGTGTTATCAGAGTAGCTAGTGGCTACTTACTAATGGTAATAAAATAAATTTATTTGATTTCCTATGGTAGTAGAGCAAGGCTTAAATATCAGCTTTATTGTTACCAATCAGTAGTCCAGAACATTTTAGGCATATTAAAAATAAAAACTACAGTTTATAAGCTTTTGCCTCAGGCTTGTTACCTATTCCTCTGTGTAACATCTGTGGTGTGTCTATTCTGTTTAAAATTGTTTGTAAGGATGTGTATTTTGGGTGAGGAGAGATAGCTTTCAGAGAAGAATTCATTCTAATATTTTGCTTTTTTTTCTCCCAACTCCTTCTCCCCCCCACCCCCCACCTGCTTTAGCTTGCCTATGCCTGTTTAACAATGCTGCGGTGGGACTGTGCCAAGTCTCAGGGTGCCGTGGGGCTGGCAGGAGTCTTGTTGGTTGCACTCTCAGTGGCTGCAGGATTGGGCCTGTGTTCATTGATTGGAATTTCCTTTAATGCTGCCACAACTCAGGTATTTAGGAGACACAAGTCTGCTGTTAAATTATAAATACTCTGTTAGTAAATTAATGCAACTGAATCTTTGAGGGAAAAAAGCTGCAAAAGTGTTTTAGCTCTAGATTTTTACTTGTGCCTTTCTTCTATCTCATAGCTTATGCTGTGAGAAATTAAGTGATCATGCTACCAAATTATATTAAAGAAAAAGGCAGGTATCATGTAGTTTTTATAATTACTAGACTCTGGGTTAATTGGTTTTTCTGTGTCCCAATGTGAGTGGAGGCATCCAGTTGTACATAAGAAGCTGCAGGTTTTGTCTTGCAATCTGAATATACCAGGATGTTCAAATTCTGGCAATATTTTTAATGTAACTTGAATTATTATCAGATATTCTTTGTCTACCCAAAACTTGAATTGCTTTTGATGAGATTTTGTACCTGTAAATGGTATAGTGGAAGTTCCTCAGCAGTATTCCAGAATAAAAGTTAATAGCTGTATTGCGTCCTTTTGATTTTCATTTTACCCTTGGATTTGTGTACAGTGTAATGTAAAAGTTGCTTTAATTAGCCATTTAATGGCTAGCTGCATGGCAGATCATAAAACAACATTCTTGGTTTTTGTTTGTTTTGTTTCTCCCCCAAGGTTTTGCCTTTTCTTGCTCTTGGAGTTGGTGTAGACGATGTTTTCCTTCTGGCACATGCATTTAGTGAAACAGGGCAGAATAAGAGAATCCCATTTGAGGTAATGACAAAGTGGGGATTTGGGGGAAGATAAAACTAAAGCCTTCGTATAGGAAAACATACCTGTATCCAGAATTCATTAATAGTGATGAAAAAACCCCATATTTTTCTCAATAGCTTTTCCTAGGGTCTGGAAATTCTTATTTCTGTCAAAATAGGAAATTATGGCAATACATGTGATCCTAGAATGTTTTTGAATGTTAGCTTTTTTAAATACTGTCTCAGATTTATTTTGTCCTGAAATTTTAATTTGTAGCTGCCCTTTAGAGTCTAATCTACGTAACCCAAATTCTGACAAAAAATTCAGCAAAAGTTGATGTAAATTTAGGAACAAACTCAAATGCAAGTCTGACAATTAAATGATAGAATGCTTTTAATGGAAGAACACAAGAATGTTAAAGAGAAAAGAAAGAGGACAGCCTAGAAAACAAACGTTACTTTTTGTGTATTAACTGTTACCTTTACTTATTTGTTACGGCCTTAAATTTGAGTTATTTTTTTATATTTTTCTCTGGTTTTCTTTTCTGATGTTTATAATTGACCATGACATTTCAAAGCATAACATACTAATGTTATGAAATCTAAGATGTTGTTACTTTTATGATCCTTTCCTTTTATTGACCTTTTTACCCTCAGTACAAAGTTTCATATCCAAAGTACAAACCATTTAAAAGCAATGTATATTTGTCCATTTTGTTTTGTACAAGCAATGTCTTCCATGTGCTCTTTCCAGCTGGTTTGGCATGCAGGCACTACAGTCTCACTCTCCTATAACCTCCATATGCTTCAAAGTAGCCTCTTGGCTGGGGAAGGGGTCATGTGTTTATCTTGATTTCTCTGCAATTTTTGTGTGTGGTCCCTGGGTTTTGGGTTGTTTTGTTACATACTTCTTCAAGATCTGTAGTTTATATTATGCTTCTATGCTGTTAATACATGCTTATTTTGTCTGAGAACACCAAATGTCTCCTGGTAGAAAATACGTCCTACTTAATTACAGATGTGTTTGATACAGTCTCAGTACCCATTTAGTTTTGTGTTCTGAAGCTAGAATCAGCTTTGATGCTTTCTGCCCTCGAAAAACATGAGCATTTCATGTGTCATCTGCTTTTCTCGTGAACAGTAAACTTAGTATGTAATTTATTCTTGCATACTCACTAATGCACACTTGTATTCAGAATTTCATTGTAATAATTTTTCACTGTTACTGTAGGATGACCGCTTCATTTGCAGGACATCACCTTATTTGCTTGACTTTTAAGATACATCGTTTGTTTTGCAGGACAGAACAGGTGAATGTTTGAAGCGAACAGGAGCAAGTGTAGCCCTTACATCTATCAGCAATGTTACTGCTTTCTTTATGGCTGCCTTAATCCCTATTCCTGCTTTACGAGCATTTTCACTCCAAGTAAGTTTATATGCTATTTTGTTAGCTCTTATGCATGGTCCCATCATGGAAGGCCAATGATACCTGTTAGTGGTAGTGTTAATGTCCGTCTTCTGTCCTGCTGTAGTTCACTGAACCAGTATATGATCAATGTTTACCATAGATCTGGGTAATAACAGCTGCTGTCTGCCCTTGATTCTGCTCCTCCCATTTCTCATGCCTGGAGTCTCTCATATCCTGTTAGCAGGTGAAAGAATACCCTGCTACATTACAGCTGTGTTGAGTGCAAAAAACAAGATGTATGCAACTAACCTGTATGTAACAAGCCTCCAGAAGGATTTGCATTCTTAAGTCAACGGGAGTAGACTGTATTGCAGTGTGTACTGTAGCATTCCTCAACAGGAATTTAATGCTTTCTTTCATGTTTGTCCAATTTGCTGCTCTTAAAAACTGTAACCAAAGTACAATGACAGCAGCAAATATGCATTTGCCATATTATTACTGCAGCATTTTGGACTGCCTTGCTCCCAGTGTAATTTTAGCAAACTTGGAGAAAATGTTAAGAATTTTACATTCCAACTGCTTTAAGAGAAAATGTGAATTTTATGTGCTGAGCCATAAATTGCTCTCTCTCCCTTTCTCTCTTTGTCATCATGTATTTGTTTGTGATAATATACTGTCATGGTTTAACCCAGCTAGCAGCAGCAAATACCACACAGCCACTTGCTCACCCTCCTCCCTTCTGGGGGTGAGATAAAGACTTAAAGGGGCAAAGGGACAGGAGCCTCGTGGGTTAAGAACAATTTAATAATTAAAATACAATAAAATTGGATAGAATAATTACTATAATAATGATAATAATAGTAATAATATTAAAATATACAAATACACAAATCAGTGATACAC